GTGCCTGAAAGTAGTGAGGACGACTAGCTGTAAGATAGGCAGAGAATCTTGGCTTTCTTGTACTCTTAGCTGCTCATACAAGTGTTTTATGTGCATCTATGCTATGTTAATCAAAATGCATGTGTTGGTTAGGTTTTACATTTCTGCATGGCAAGCAGTGCTCATGCCAGATCTGGGTCCCTCAATTACTCTTTCTGAAGCTTCCAAAATGTTAATTGTCACATCTATCCACTGGTGGAATCTTCAACTGTATGGCTTAATGTCACTAAGATAGAAGTGGTTTCAATTTCCACATAGTGTCTAGGGGTCTGAATATTCAATGAACAGATACAATCCTTCTGCATTTCCATGTTGTAGACCTAGGCAATAATAGACGAGCAAATGATACTCCTACAGCTTCATCATATGTTGTGCTATCATCCACTTAGGAATTTTAAAATTCATCAAAAATTACAGTGATGAATGGTCCACTCGTACAGTGAACTTTCTACCACAGAAGTAGTATCAACGGTGTTTTATACAGACCACTACTGCAAGCAGTTATTTCTTTATTATACAGAACCTGTGTTCAGAAGCAGTGAACATAGACTAGTATCTGCTTTTACATGTTCAGTCCTTAAACTGTGATATTTGCACTGATTCTGGTACAACTGGTGTTGGTATGTAACACAAAACTCACATTCTTGTCATGGTTATATGACAACTCCAGGACTTCTTCCCTTATCACTGCATTGCCACGAAAATAACTTAAGTAAGGGTGAGAAGATTTCTCATACTCATGTGGTGCCTTATCATTTAACTTCATAGCTCTTCCACAAACTTATCTATGAGGATATTCTCATCATCTGCTGAAAACTTTGCTGAGTACACCTAAACAGATCATCCACATAAGCAGTAATCTTTTCAGTGGCATTTCTCTTCTGAGCCTTGAAGTTGGACTGCTGGATTGCTTTATTTTCTAACAAGTCAAACCTCCATCACAGCTTAGTGAGTATTTGTTCACATTCCTACAGTTGTGCTTTCTTCAAGTGTTCAATTGAGTTTAGGGTCAGATTGTCTAAATTCAAGATCATACATTGGAAATTGTTGAATATACAAGACTGTTTAGTTTAAGAATTATTAGTTAGTTCATTTAGTGATAATTTAGTTTTCATGACAAGTGTTTAAAGTTAATTATTTTAAAAGCTACAGTTGTGACAAGTTATGTAACTCTGTATGAGTCGTACTTTGTGTATGCAGTTTGATTGTTGTATTAGGCTTTAGTAATATTGTTGGCATCACACTACTTAAATATTCGGTATGTTTCTAGTTGCAGTAAGCGAGTATTGTTACAGCATAGCATCTCACAGTTTATAGAAAGTTCGACGCCATATTTGGGCAATATATATATGTATATATGTGCCCAGAAGAATGCAAGTTATGTCAGAAAACGTTAAGTTAGTGAAAGTGAAGTTAGACTACATGATTGTTAGTTTAGTTGTAATAGGCAATATTTTAAAGAGAGTTTTACAGTTTAACTGATTGTTTTGTTGTTAAGCACAAAGTTACACAATGGGCTATCTGTGCTCTGCCCACCAAGGGTATCAAAATGCGGTTTCTAGTATTTTAAGTCCACAGACATACCGCAGTGCCACTGGGGGCTACAGTTTAACAGAGATAAGGAGAATAATTTGTCTTGCCAGTGTGTGTTCTAAAGTAATTGAATCCCCCTGTGTGGACTTTGATGAAAAGGAGAAAATTATTTAAAGTACTGGATACAACTGTGGTAACCCATGGGGTAACGTAAGTGAATTTATTGCAGATTCTGGAGTAAGAAACAAAGTAGAGAAAAATAATTTGTTTTGTCAGTTGGGTTCTAAAGTAACTGAACCAGCCGTTGTGGACTTTTGACAAGAAAAAGAGAATTATTTAGAATTTCAGATACAGCTATGATATCCTATAGTGTAAACAATTTTTGTAAATATGTTTGAATGTATTGTTTTAAAACAAGTGGATTGTGTGCTGTCCATGTATTCTTAGAATTTATCGCCAACAAGTCACAGACACCTACTGTAAAAGAATACAGCCCATATACAAAAAAGAAACCTGACAAACAACCTACTCTGAAATAAAGTAATTACATATACTTAGTTTCTTGAAATGATTCAGGAAATGGTCTAAATCCTTCTTTGCTAGACCCTTGAATGTTGGTAGGTGATTCAGGAAATGGTCTAAGTCCTTCTTTGCTAGACCCTTGAATGTTGGTAGGTGATTCAGGAAATGGT